CAATTTAAACAATAAATATATATGTATATATATTTAATATTTTTCACAACAATAGTTTTAAATTTCGTTGAAGTGTGTGAACATTACTACACTTTTTATTTTTCACAGCAAAGTCTTCTCATGTTCTGACATAGAAAGTCTGATATAATTATCCTTCCCGTGAAATGCAATGTATTTGTAAATATGTCGATATCTATAGACTGCATTTATCCATTCGTCTTTATAAATTTATATGCACATAGATAAATACAGCGTATAGTTAACTGTTTTAAAAAAAATGTATTTTCGCTTTTGCAGCACGCTAAAATAACATATCCGACAAATAAATGTATATTTGAGAATCCTGAAATCCACAAGAAATATGACATAAAAGCAGGAAGCCAATAGACGCCAATTGACTATCCCAAGTGGCCATCGTTGCCCATATCGGCCAGATAAGCCCTGTAAAGGAGCAATCTATCCCCGAGCGATCTGTGTTATTAATTCGCACTCTTGGTGAGATCCTGGCTCTCTATGTCGCTCTCCTTTTAAAAGTTATTTAACTTTCCCACGAATTTCCCCCCTTGGTGCACAAAATACTGACTGGCTGTCACATCCCTGTTTGACAATGGAGAAATGTGTCAACAAAAAGAGGGAGACATGTCAGATTAGCCCTCCTAATGCAAGAAGCTGTTGTGTATTAAATGAGCCATATGGAATTTATTATGCTTTATCAGCCCTTGATTGTAACTGTAAAGTGATTTGCTCAGCTTCAAACCAAGAGACATCTGTTTTCTGTTGGCAATCAGGGCATCCCAATGTTTATCGTCTCTTTGGTTATGAGACTGGGGTTGGAAAATGCACTCTGGTATGGAGCAGCAAACACCTCTAATAGCATTGCACTCACTTACAGGGCCAGCGATTAGATCAATGCAGGGTTATTGCTATAAAAAAAATGGGAAATCAAATAGCATTAGCCAGCTCCTTCTGCAAGCTTGATGGGGAAATCAAACAGCCCTTTGCCATGAAATAGCCCTGTTTGTTCTAGCACTAAGTGTGCTTTTATGAAGCCCTATTGGAGACTTAATCACAGCCAAATACCTGCCTTGCCTTCAGCATGTTTGTCTATCAACCGAGCCTTTTCCTCCTTTGCGTCCTATTAAAAAAGAGGGGGACCGCAATGACCGACTTCTTCTTCTTTTTTTTTTTTTGGGCAGTGTGTGTGTATCAATAATCATCTAGGTACTGGCACAGCACATGCCACCTGCCCTCTTACACACTTACCCCAAGACGCTACCCATCAGGTCTGCGGCTATGGACACTGTTTTCAAGTTCCCACTCCTCCCCAGTCGCCTTCAAACTTGCTCCTTCATTTATCAAAGGTGGAATGTAATAATTGCACGTTATTTGATTAATTAATTCCTGGACTCATGGGAGATTGATTTGTTTTCAGTTTAGCATTTAGGCACTGATTGCAGGCAGCGGTGACATTGGGAATTCTATTAATAGGCTGGAAATGCCACATATGTTTACTGGAGCAGCTGGGGGATTACAGACAAGACATGAAAGGTAGACCCTGCTCACACTATCCCTTACAGTGCCCCCCAAATGTCAACCTCCCCAGCACCCCCAAAAACACTCACCTGCACCCTGGCTTCTGTCAGGTCCAGCCGCATCGCCAGCTCCTCTCTAGGAGGAAAGAGATAAAAGATGAGCGATCAGATTACAGAGGAAATCGGAATCGAATCTAATCGAAACCCCG